TTATTGTTTTGTCTGTTTTATCTTTTTTTCTAGTGTTTTGTTTGTTTAATCTTTTTGCTAGTGTTTCACATGTTTTGGCTTTTTGCTAGAGTTTCGTTTGGTTTGGCTTTTTGTTATTGTTTTGTCTGATTTATCTTTTTGCTAGAGTTTTGTCTGTTTTATCTTTTTGCTAGTGTTTTGTTTGTTTTATCTTTTTGCTAGTGTTTCACACGTTTTGGCTTTTTGTTCGTGTTTTGTCTGTTTTATCTTTTTGGTATTGTTTCATTTGTTTTAGCTTTTTTCTAGTGTTTCGTTTGTTTAGGCCTTTTGCTAGCGTTTCATTTGATTTATCTTTTTGCTATTGTTTCATTTGTTTTGGCTTTTTGCTCGTGTTTTGTCTGTTTTATCTTTTTGCTATTGTTTCGTTTGTTTTAGCTTTTTGATAGTTTCTTTTTTGTATTGAATGCTTTTTGAATAGAGTTTCATTTGTTTTGGCTTTTTGCTAATGTTTTGTCTGTTTTATCTTTTTGCTAGTGTTTTGTTTGTTTTAGCTTTTTTCTAGTGTTTCGTTTGTTTTGGCCTTTTGCTAGCGTTTCATTTGATTTATTTTTTGCTATTGTTTCATATGTTTTGGCTTTTTGTTAGTGTTTCGTTTGTTTTAGCTTTTTGCTAGAATTTCGTTTGGTTTGGCTTTTTGCTAGTGTTTTGTCTGTTTCATCTTTTAGTTAGTGTTTTGTCTGTTTTAGCTTTTTGCTAGTGTTTCGTTTGTTTTAGGTTTTTGCTAGTGTTTTGTCGGTTTTTGCTTTTTGCTAGTGTTTTGTCTGTTTCATCTTTTAGTTAGTGTTTTGTTAGTTTTAGCTTTTTGCTAGTGTTTTGTCGGTTTTTGCTTTTTACTAGTGTTTTGTCTGTTTTAGTTTTGAGAAGTATGCTGCATCCTGTAGCATTAAGCTAGCGTTCTCTTCCTTTGAGCTCCACCAACTCAGTTTCAGCTTCTTCAGAAGAATTCTGCAGTCCTTTAGCTGTAAGCACTCACTCAGTATTTTTACAGAACATGACAGTTCTTCAGTTTTAGATGTTTTTCTCGTGAATGTTTAGGGTTCGTTTAGATTTTTGGTTTGTTTCTGTTTGTTTAAAGTCGATTGTTTCTCTAGTTTCCAGACAAACCTTTAGAGCTACAAACAATCTCTGTGAGTGATTCTTCTTGTTTAACAGAACTGTGAGTTTTTTTAAAGGATGTTTATTTCTTTCTGAACCTCTAACAGAGTTCTGCAGGTTAGTTTAGGAGGGATGGAGCATGGTTCCTCTGACCCCTGCCTGCTTCTTTCCTTCAGGTTGACGCCCTTTGACCTCGGGATCATGGCCTACACCCTGGGCTCGGCGCCTGACGAGAAGACCCGCAGCATCGGACCTCAGCACTGCGTCACTCGGGTGGAGCTGTCCGTCACGGCGTCCAGCCTGCTGGACCGGGACGTTGCCTCCAAGTCGGACCCGTTCTGCGTTCTCTTCCAGGAAGTGGATGGAAACTGGGCAGAGGTACGATAGCTGACTGATGGAACAGGAAACAGGTGTGGTCCGGCGGCTGGAAGATGGGCCAGAATCGTTAGACTGATCCGAGCTGAGATGTTAGGTAGTGAAGCGGTTCCTAACAGCTGCCGAACAAAAATTAAAGTGAGGATGGAAGATGTGAATAAACATTTTGTCTCCTCCTGCAAATAAACTGTTTGTTTGTGCTGCTCTGCATGCGGCAACCTACGGGTTGAGATTCAGATCCAAACACGTGAAGTTCTGACCATCTGGCTTCATTCATGGCGTGCTGAGCCCAAAGATGCCGTGAAAAATTTATGAGCTTTATTCCAATGAAAGACAACGACTGCAGATCTGGTTCAAGTCAATGTCAGGGTGGGAAGTCAACAAGAAGCGTCACTGATTTTTCTAAATCCGGTCAGAGGTTCTGCTCGGGGTACGTTAACCTTTACCTGGGCAAAGTGAGGATGAAGAGGCAGAAATGTTTGCTGCTAAAAACACTTCCTGTCAAAGCAGTAAGAACAGGAAGCCGCCATTTTACTGAGCAACTCGTAAACAGCGCTGGGAGGGAGTTTCCTAAAATGGCGCGCTCATGTTGTAAAAACAAAATAAATCTCATGCAATATATTTTTTTTTACTATTTCAGAGTTTCAAACTGGTCTCAGATCTTTTCAGGTGAGTTTCTATCTACGAGAATCAGAATCAGAGAATCTTTACAGTAGTCCTTCGATATGCCGCGGTTCGACCTTGGTGGACTCGCTCTTTCGCAGTTTTTTCAATGTAAGACACGACTGTCAACTTTAACTCACGTGATGATACAGGATGGGATGATACAGGATCAAAAGTTAACAAAAGAAAATTCTTCAGACAGGCGCCGCCATTTTATAGTTTTCTTTCAATTAGCCTATACTGTAACGCACGTCAAAAGAACTACACCACCCAGAAGCCAACAGTACTTCAGCTGCTTTCTGCCAAAATGGAGGAAAAGTTATGCAACGTAAAGTCAGAAGTAACAATCGATCTATTAAACTCACAGAACTGGCAGGAAATTCACAAATAATCCTGAAACTCAATTATCCACGTGCACATTTACCTGGACAGGGCGGTGGGCTTTGCCTCTGCAGGGTAGGTCTGCTGAACCAGAACCGAGCCCGACCGGAACCGAGCTGCTGGTCTGCAGAGCTGCTGAATAAAATTTTGCTGTACTGTACAGTACATGTACGTATGTAGTAAAAATTACGTAAGTTTAAGAGTTTAGAACATTGCAAGAGTGTACAAAGAGTCAATATATATTTACAGTAGTCCCTCATTTATTGTGGGGGATCCGTACCCTGAATCCATACTTGTACCCTAAATATAAATATATATATATTTATATATATAAAGGTTGAATGAATTAATGAATATATATATATATATATATATATATATATAAATATATATAAATATATATATATATATTTTTGTTTGTTTGTTTGTTTTAAACCCTTCCCACACTCTTGCTAAACAATGTTTCTAAACTTTGAATGCTGTAAAAGAGCAAGTCATGATTTCAGCTCTCGCCCTCCATTGCTCTCTGCCAGCGCTCTCGACCACGCCCACTTCTTCGCTGCAGAGCGGAGATCCTGACACGTTGCAGGAGGAAGCTTCTCCTGCAGCACGGGCTGCAAACAGGTGCAGCAGGTGCTAAATAATTTTAAACAATTTATTTTAAATAAAAATCCATGGCGATCATCGGATCATCCATCAATCAGCCAATTGTGTGTCAAGTCCAATCTTACTTTGTAAAACCGCGATAGAGTGAGTCCGCGAAAAATGAACCGCAAAGTAGCGAGGGACTACAGTATTGTCCCTCGTTGCAGAGCAAAGAGCAGGAATTGAAAATACTTTGGTGAGAAATGTTCATTTTGCTTCTAGAGTCTGGGAACGTTTTAGCTCCTCAGGTGATCCTCGTGCTGACACGTCGATCGCAGCTGTGTCAGAAAGTGCTTCAGAACGTTGGTGCCGAAACCTGCTGCTTTTTATTTGTTCAGGCTAAAAGTCAAATACGATGTAAGAGTTGGAAGGAATCAGGAGCCAACCCAGCTCAGCAGTGTGGATTTTCTGAACCCCCTCTGCTTCCCACACCTTTCTGACATTTAGGACATAAAAATATGAAGTTCTGGTTCTGGAGGGAAGAATCTGTCACTTTACAACTCAGCCTGACTGGGAATTAGGAGAAACTCGGAACAATGCAGTGTGTAAACAAAAGCAACCCCACAATTAATTACCCAGAATGCCCCTCTGCATGGAATTACCAAACCACTGCTCGTGAGGAGATAAAACCACAGTTTCCTCCCCTCGCTGATTATCTGCTGCTTCTCTTGGTTTACGGCAGAGCTCTCATTATTTCCATCGTTTTGTTTTTGTCTGAAAACTTGTTTCTGTTTTCGGCCTCGCGGAGTCTTTAGCTGCGCTAAATCAACCGTATTTTTATTTCCTCCTGTAACCAGGAAGTCAAACTTTTGTCAGTTTCTCAAGTTTGTAGCCGTTCTGCAATGTAGTTTTTAAATGTTCAATTTTTCCCTCTTGTGTAAATAATTAATTCTGCAAATATTATCACTATTTAACATATCGGCACGTCTTCAGGCTTTAGCTGACGTGTCTGTGGGTGCTTCAGCAGGAAATACCACCAGACTTCAGTGAGTTGGTGCACATGCATGTGATTGCTATCACTCATCACTGAAAGTGCAGACGACTGTGTGTCTGTTAGCAAAATATCTCGTGAACCACTGGATGAATTTTTGTGACACGTTCAGACTGTAATTGCCGGATGTGCCACTACAGCTGATTAATGTTTGGAGTCAACCCAGATCGAGAGGAAGAGACCGCGCGCAAACTCCACCGAGAAAGATTCCCCGCCGTGATTGGATCTGACGACCTTCTCGCTGAGAGGCGGCAGTTTTCCCAACTGCACCACCGTGCCACCCATAAGAAAACAATAACAAAACTCAATTAATAATAATAATAATAATAAACAGCAATCTATCAGAATCAGCCCAAAAGACACAGTTTGTTTGTTCTCATGAGGTTTTTTGTTTATCTGTTACCTCTGTCCTGTTTCACCGTTTTCTTTCCCAGATTTGAGCCTCTGCAGGGTTTTCAGACAGTTTAAGCAGAAGTTCTGCCTGCTCAGTCGTGAAGATGGATCTCCAGAGCCCAAATTTAGAATCCTAAACTTTCTGAGTTGTTCAGACAGTGGTGTGGCCAAAAACAACAGCAAACAGAAAATTAAATAAATAAATAAATGAATGAGCGCAGCAGGTTGAAGATATGCTCAGGAGGAAGATAGTGATGATGATGATGTGTGTGTGTGTGGGCGCAGCTTCAAGGCTTCTTCTCTGTACAGCTGGTCAACAGGTCAACCTGCCACGTGTGTGTGTGTGTGTGTGTGTGTGTGTGTGTGTGTGTGTGTGTGTGTAGGCGAGTGCCTCAGGTTGCAGCGAGCTGTCGGTCAGCAGGGCATGTGGCTCCGATGCAAAATTGCCAACAGTTACCATGGCAACGGCGAGGGAAACAAAAAGCTTAGTGCTCCTGTAGTGAAGGAGAGATGGAGGAGGCGAAACTAAAAGATTTTTATTTTTTTTTATTCTCTCCACATCTCCTCCTCATCGTTGTCCTCTTCTCCTCCAGTCCGCTCCTTTTAGCTTTGTCTTCTCTGTCCTCCTTCCCGTCGGGCGTCTCTTCCACCTCCCGTCTCCTCTCCACGTTTGCTTCTATTTCTGTCTGCGCTGAGACGGAGGGATGAGGAGCAGCTGGGTGAAGCAGAGGGGGAACATGTAAAGAGAAACGGGTGATGAGGAGGACGTTGGGAGAAAAACAGAGGAGAAAATAAAACTACAGGCCTAGCATTCCTCAAAGGAATGCATATCACCCGCCACCTCAATTTGCTCAAAGTACCTGTTGTGAATCAGCCTCAGCTACTACCACATCATATTTTAGCTCATTATCTGTAAAACTGACCGAGTCAGAGCCATTTTTTGTGTTTTTTAAGTTCAGCTGGCTCTGGCAGCCATATTGAACTGAGGTGGCTCCAAACGTTAATCAGCTCTAGAGATAAATCAAATAATGATTTCCTGAAGGTTTCACCAATAAATGTTTTGTAATTCTTGAGATATTTTGCTAAAAGACACACACATTGATATTATCGCCCACCTTCACCTTTCAGTGGTGGGTGATAGCAGCGAGGGAATAAAGTCATGGTGGTAACTGGTGCTGAGGAGAGATTTGGGAAATGTAAACCTCCGTTATGTAAACGATGTAGCACCCAGTTAGCACTCGGCAAAGGCAATTTTCTAAATCCTGTGATTTTTTTTTTCTTCTCGGCTCTCTCAGCTCCAAGTCCTAATGCTAATCTGCGCACGTGTTGTGAGGCCAGATCTGAGCGTGTAACACTGGAAGTGAGAAGCGACATGCAGTAGGACGTTCTCCTCTCCGTGGGGTTTAAAGTCACACGTTCCTCCGGCTGTAAGGAGCCCAGAACCCGCTTCGATTTGTTGCATCTATTTATACGAAGCCAAAGCGGCGCTGCTCCGGTCTCCCTGCATTGTGATGCAGAGCCTTCCCACACAGTTTGTCACAGGTTGTTTTTTTTTATAATTTATGCTTTGGAAATGAATCAGTTTGAGTTAGAATGATATCATTTTGTATTTGTTTGAATGTTGAAAAGTGACTGAAGCCAAACTGGGTTCAGAACTTCCCACTGAGTGGATCTGGGTCACGGCTCAGGGACTCAGAATGATGTCTCCTGGCTCAGGCCTCATTTTGATTTTTACCTCAGAAATAATAATAAAAAATAACAATACTTTCACTATCACTATGACTAAAGAAACATCCATCCATTTCATAGTTTTCTTCTTCTTTCGGCTGCTCCCTTCTTCAGGGGTCACCACAGCAAAGTAAGTCGCACGAAGACGTGGCAATTATTTTTATGCTGGATGCCCTTTGTGATGCAACCACAGACCACCGAG